GAGCCAAACCAAAACATTAGAACCCCAACATCTAAACTCATAGCAGACAAGATACAACAATACGTTTCACCCTTTAGGCCTCATTCACACTGCCGCACGTATGTGCGTATTGCAACATATGCAAATAAATGGCTCCATACACATAGCTGCGTATGGAGCCGTATATATGCGCAAAAACAGAATGGAACAGAGATGCGTCCGGGCAGCGTATTTCTGCGCGTATACGCATACAGCACATTAAAAATTCCATTAAGAGTTATGCATTCTGGGATTGCATATAGTGCACGCATATACGCTCGTATATACGCAATATACAATTTTGCTTGCGTTGTGTGTGAATGAGGCCTTAATATTGCAGTTAGACTCTCTCATAATAATCATAAAAGCTGTGAGATTGTAGAAGCTGCTAGAGACAGTGTAGATCAGGGGAATGCTGAAAAATTATTTCCTACTTCACAATCTACATATTTAGTATCTCAACACTGTTTTTCCTGGTACAACCCATTGAAGCGTTTGTTCAGAGTATGTTTAACAGAGAACATGAGTAAGCAGGATTTGTATTCAAATTTCATAGTGAAGGTAGAAGAGCACTGAGCGCCTGTGTTGTTTCTACTTTTGTTGAGTCACATTACTCGGTCCTTTCAAGTCTGATGGTTGAGCGATGCTTGGCAGCCATTGAAGAAAACTGGTAGGTGGCCCTTTCGAACAGGTTACCAGGGCGTTGAGGGACGCAGTTTGCACTAGGCGTAGATTAGCTAGCTTGTTCAAACTGATGTTCACAGCATTTGTTGCGAATTCTGATCCTTGCTCATCTCATCTACAAAGTCTAGTTACTACAATATGTGTAGCAGGGACATTGTGATGGTAAATGTTACGAAAAAAAACACAAAAAAACCCCACAGACTTTTCTGCCTTATGTTGAACTTCAACATAACAGGATACCATCAATTTTAGCAGAATCAGGAACATTTCCTTTAATGCAGTCCCTAAAATTTATGGTGGTAGTTTTCGAAGGCTGGAAACCTAGGGGGAATAGCAAAATATGAGGCAGCTGAAAACTTACGAGGAAAAGGTACTGGTCTCATCGTTGCAAGTGCCATCAACATTCAGAGCAATCTGTTCTCCTTTACTGCGGCAATAATTAGGACTCGACGTGTTAATGGCCATATCAATCTCCACCTAGAAAACAAGGGACGAGAGAAAATGTTTTCTCCGTTTTAGACACACACGCGGAATATGTGCGTTTGCCACGATTTCCAGTAAAAGAAACGGACGACAAACACGCGTTTCCGAGGGCTATCCGGCTTTATCTTAATGGATACGTGCGGAAAATACGTCCCAAAGAAGCTCCTGTACTTCTTTGGGCGTAGGGCGTTTTTCAGCGCGTTCCTACATGCTGAAATACGCCGAGGTGGGAACCATGCCCATAGGCAATCATTGGTTTTCACGTGTTGAGCGTAGGAACGCGCTGTTAAACGCCCAGGTGTGAACCTAGTGATATAGAGACACACACACAATGTATCGAGAAATAGGTACACAGATCAGACATGTCCTACCTTCTGTTGCTTTGGCTTTATCCTTGCTGCCAGGTGTGGCATGCCATCGTAGGTCATTGACGCAGGCCGGACAGGGTACTAAGCAAGGGGGGGAAAAAATAATTCAGTTTTTTTTCTAAACTAGATATGATTGTACCTTACTGCTACACAGGTCATATTAAAACAAATACTTTCAGGCCTAACCTGCAGTCAGTCAAGATTTTCCAAAAAAGTAAAAACCCTTTACCCCAATAGCAAAGCAACAATATACAGTTTGTAGACAGCAATCCCTATTCACACTTAATTGGCTTACAACTTTCCAAGAACTATGCACACACAAAACTTAAAGCAGAACCCAACCCTTCTCTCTTCCTATCGGCCTAGGACAGCCCCACCTTAGCCTCTATTTAGAATTAGCAACCATGAACTTATAACAGAAGGCTCCTGTAGTATAACCCATAGTCCTGTAGTAAATGAATAGCAGTCATATGTGGCCGGCAATCCACTGATCAAAGCCATTTATTCAAAAAACTGGTTCCATCCCCCTACCGACACCACTGTTCTGCACTATCCTTGCCTGTTGCTCTTTGCTGGGTGCTGGCAACCTTCTCCACTCTGTGTCCTAACCAATCCCCACTGCTCTCCCCCTACCTGTTCAGAGAAAGCAGGGATCAGAGGGGCAAGATTGCACATGGAAGACTCTTTCTCAGAAGGGAAATAGCCTGGGTCTGTTGATCTTTTCCTAAGGCCCCCCAACAGTAATAATAAATTAAACATAATTTAAGAAATAAACACACCCCACACACAAAACCTAGATTAACACCACTAGCAGCATAAACAAATTCAATCTGATGGTGTATGTTAAAATAAAAAGCAATTTATAATTTAAAGTCACATTGAAAACAAAACTACCTGAAATAAGTACAGCTTATCTGCCAAGCTCTTGGCCAGGAAAACATCAATCTGAGAGGGTAAAAAACAAAACAAAAAACACGCTACATCAGTTAGAAGAAACACATTGTGCTTTAGTAATGTCACAATAAAACTGTAAAAAAATGTAAATGGAAGTGGTTTAAGCAGTAGTAATCCATGCAATTTTATATTCATTTCACAGCTGCTTTCAATTATATTCGCTAGGGCTGCAACCAACCGATTATAATAGTTGTCAACTATTGTCATTATCGATTAGTTTGCTCCCCTAGCTCTCTCCTCCATGCTGGGAGGAGGGTACAGCAAGCATAGCAAGCCTGCTACTGAAATTTGAAATGGCCAATTGCAGGGTGGCTAATGCACCCGCCCACATGCTGTATTTACATCCAGCTGTCGTCTGTGGAATCTTGCCACTGGCAGCTGTCATTCCCTGGCTGAAGCTATTCAAGTGCCATGTGCAATTATTAAACCCGATTAAAAATAAAGAAAATAAAAAAAAGTGGGAAAAATTTCATTTTCGGTTTCGGCCAGATAAATGCTGCTGCAGGAGGTGCGGTGCAGTTCCATTCATTTCAATGACACCCCAAATGCACCTCCCACCCACTGTGTGATCGCCCGCACTGGAATGCATGGTACCGCAATGCCATGCATTCCAGTGCAGTGCGATTACAAAAAATTGTGCCTGCAGTTTTATTCTGAAGTAAACTTTATGTTTGAAACACTGCATTTGTGCATCTTATTTTAAATTAAAAGGAGAACTATGGGGTCAGTGTTTTTCCCCATAGTTCTCCTTAGGGTAACGGGAGGACACAAACTAGCGTCCTCCCGTTACCCTAAGCTCAGTATACCGCGAGCTACAGCTCGCGGTATACTGAGACGCCGCACCTGGAGCGGATCCCGACGTAGATGACGGGATCCGCCCAGCTGCGTGAGTGACAGCTGGCTCTGCCTATCTAGAGGCAGAGCCAGCTGTACCCACCCCCTCCCGTCCGTTCCGCCAGTCAGCGCTGGCGGATCGGAGCGGGAAGAGGGGAATCCAGCCCCGCCCCCTGTCACGGCAGAGAGCCGTGACAGGATCGAGAGGTGAGCGAACCCGGTATGTGTTCGTTCACCTCCCGATCTACTGAGCCGACCTGTGACAGTCTCATTGTCACAAGTCGGCTAGAACTATGAGGTGAGTGAAAAGCACTCACCTCATAGTTCTCCTTTAAGGATGGTAATTCAATTTTTTTTATCCGATCGAAAAAATAAAGCAGCCAGCTAATCGATTATGAAAATAATCATTAGTTGCAGCCCTAATATTCGCTGTACCTGTAAGTAAGAACAAAAGAAAAAAAAAACCTTGCAGCGGGGCACTGAACAGGTTAAATGTTTATTAACTAAGAAGTAGATGAGGCTGTATTACTTACCATATTCCTCCCCACAGCTTTTTCCTCCTAGACACACCAGACTGTGGGTGATCCCTCATCATCCAGTGCAATGTAGGACTATTTTTCCTGCATTGTATGTGAAGAGGTAAGTGTGCGGCTAGAAGTTGGAGCACTATAAGAGACTTCAGGGAACCAGTCACACAGGTGGAGGGAGCAAGATGGGGCGTGAAATAAGGTAATGAAATCTTAAGCATTTAGTGTGGACGGCCCCACAGCAAGGGCATTTTTTCCTTGTGGTCGGAATCGGGCTTTAAGAACCAAACCACAAAATAACGTAACCCATTGCAACCAATCATCTTTCACTTCCCCTAAGAGCCTTAAACCAATTAAAAGGTGAAACCCAATTGGCTGCAATGAGTTACGGGACATCGGCACCCTCTACACTTCCTACAGGTTCAAAGTTTTGCTGCCATCATTTAGCAAAAGGCTCCCACATGGCATATGGGACTCTACCACATGCCTACTGTTCCCTCTGAAGATTCTAATGTACCTGAACCATTACTGATAAGTGCTGCTCACTCTACACACCTCAACTCTCTGACTTCAGTGTGACTGGTCCGGTTTGTTTTATCAAAAAGGTGCCAAGAGTCACCTCTGGCATTGAATACACCTGCAGAGAAGCTGCTAGTTGCTCCGAGATAAACCAGCATTGGCTGCTGGAAGAAAGAGGTCAGATTATGAGCATCACCACATCAAGCAGAGGAGAGGGGGTTTTAGTGACAGTGAAAGTCCACATGTGGGCTGTGATGTTAAAGTGGAACCCCAGGAAATAGATGTATTTTCTTCAGTGAATGGACAAGAGGAGAGAAGGGATGGGTAAACAGGAACTCCCCTTGCCCATTCACAGAACACCTTGTATTCTGTGAACAGTATACACAATGTTTTATGAATGGACAAAGGGAGAGAAAGGGGACAGTGAGTGGACACACAGAGGGGAGAGGCAGGAAAACCATAGGACCTACCCTCATCTATTCAAGATTAGGTCCAATATAAAACATTATCTGAATGGACAAGGGGAGAGTGAGTGGACAAGGGGAGGGTAAACAACCTTCCCTTATCCATTAAGAGAATATTTTGCATTCTGTGAACAGAATACAAGGACATTTTTTGAATGGACGAGGAGAGACTAAGGGGAGCGTGAGCTTCGCAATCCCTCCGCTGTACTATTGCCAGAATTCAAGTTGCAGCGCTGGAAGGAAACAACGTGTAACTTACTATTCAATACAAAAGTAAATTACTTTACCTCTTGTATGATTGGATCGTCATCTTCACTTTCCATACTAGTCACACACACACCAACAGCCAGTGTTCTTCAGGGTGCCAGGTACAAATGGGTTATATCCCCCTATAGAACAATAAACAATTGTCAGTTCCGAGTTCACAAATGTTTTGGCTTCAATAGCAACCTGTATTGAAGGGACCAATGTTTGTCAATCACCTGGTCTATGAATAGCAGACACACCTTACCTAGCAACAAAGGTATCTGTGGTAACTCATGTGACACCAAATAAAATGAGAAAGGTGACAATTCACAAAATTGTTTTATACAAGTCACAATGTCACCCAAGAGACCTTCCCTGGCAGAATTGGGTGGCATTCTAGCTGAATGCAACATGTAAGTTTGTGTTCAAAAAACTATTTAAGGCAGTAAATTGCAGATGATTTTTTAGGTTCAAACAATTAGTGCACCTAAACATCTTACAGGAGAGACTGATAGATCCGAGGAGGAGTTGGTCTAAAGAATAGGAATTTTACGCTCCTTCCTGTATTAATGTATTCCCTTTTATGCTAGGTTGTCCATACTCACACCCCCAGCGAATCCAGTTTTCATCTCTCGTAATCTGCCGTTCCACTACTGGACATGAGGTCCAGCGCTGCCATCATCCTTTCTTTGTCATCAGGAGCCGGACTGGAGTGACAAAGGTCTGCGTCACTCCAGTCATGGAGTTTTATTATTAATGTGTAGATTTTTAGTCTCCCAAAACAGGTAGTACAGGCTATTTCATCTGATAAAATGTGCAATTAAAAAGCTTAGGGACGCTGATGTTATCCCTCCTTGGAATAGCTAAAAGCGTGTAGATTAGTAAAAAAAGCTCCAGACTGTATTCCTAGACACAAAGGGCCCATGAAAAGTAAAACCACCCAAATCACAGACACTCCAAACTAATCAGAAATTACCACCATCCCAAAAACACATTAAACCACTTGAGTACCAGCCTGGCACACCCATTGGCTTTGGGGGGGAGGGGGGGGGGGTTCAAACATGGAGCTCGGTGATGGTGCAATAGATATAACATTGCAAGACATACACACAGCAATCAGGAAGTGAAGAGATTCATGAACTGGTGGCCAGTTAAAGGTCTATTCCCCTGACTGTGAAGAGATTTCCTCTCACTTCCTATTGGGTTTTTAAGACAGGAAGTGCCGTTTTTACATCTCTCATCCTGTATTTTTACATTTCTAGTTCCAATTAGTCTCCATAAAATACCTTTGAATAGATGCCGAGAGCCACATTCACATACAGTTCCTCTATGCCTTTGTCCACATTTAATTCTGACTTCCAAATATCCACCATTGTAGTCATACATACAGAAGCACTGTGTTCAGAAACTAGCGCACTGCTTTTTTTCACTACTCCCTCACAGCTCAACCCGCTTCCTCCGTAATGTCCTGCCCACCTGTATACTTTGCCAACCTTGCCTGCAGCCCCCAGCTGCACAAGACATGGTGCAAGGCATTGGGGAAGATGACCTGGGACAGATGAAACCAGCAGAAGCTGCTACTCCGAAGAAGCCGGGATTATAAAAAGTGTGCCGCCCCAACAGGGGCATAGAATATGAGATGCATAGCCTCAGTTAAGATTAGCATTGTTATATAGGTTAAATTTATACAAGAATATATTTTGGAGCATTACAAAGTATTGTTATTATGCTCATAATGCTCCATAAAATTACGCTCGTCATGCTCCATAATAACAAATTAATCATCATAAGATACAGACGGGACTATGACAGCCCAGGGTTCTTTAAATCCCCAACCATAAGAAATGGACAGGACTATAACAACCAGGGCAGGGGTGTGCAATTCCTATCGCCCAATGTTTGAGAAATAGTAGGTATATAGGTTCTGTGCGCCAGGCAGGTGTTTTTTTCCTCTACATATAGCCCTGCTGTGGGCAAGCAGGGCTAATGTAGAGCAGGGAAGCCACCGCTCCTTTTATAAAAGTGATCTGGTCAGCTGCCCTGATCACTTGTAGCAGCCTGCTTGTTCCACCCCACCTCCCCGCAGTGGTTTTCAGGGTTCCTCACTCTTCTGGGGAACCTGTGGCCACAGCAAACGACTTCAGGGTGGAGAACGGAGAGCAGATTGCAGAGCATTTGTTCTCTGACCTGCTCTGTGTAATCAGTGAGATAAGGAGAGCTATACTCACAGCACTTCCTGTCTCAGATGTCACAACCTGGGCTATACAGAAGATCTAGCCCAATGGTGTGATCGATCTCCTGTATTGGAGGGCAGGCTCCATAACGAGAATCTTTCACCTCCAAATGACATCACATAGAGACTTGTTAGCTCCTGTGTGATAGCAATAAAGTTAACTGAAAAAACAAATGAGATAAAGTAAAAACTAACTAAATAAAAAAAATTAAAACCCAACCCCGCAATCTGCATGTGAATGGGCAGTGTGTGTGCATTGCACTCTTTAACATGCACAATGTGTTGTTTTGGTTCAAATTATTTATTGTATCACAAGTAGATTGTCATGAGGGACAAGTGGATCGGGACCCACTTTAGTCCTTGGACCAGTCATTTTTAAAAACAAATTGCACACCCCTGCCCAGGGCTCCCTAAATTCGGCATAAGGTATGGACAGGAGTATGACAGCCCGGGGCTCTCTGTGTTCTGACTGGAAGGCCTCAAACACACGGGCAGAAAAAAAACACGCCGTTTAGAGGCACTTTACATATTTTTGTTGTTCTGGGGTTTGTGTCCATAGGATTGGATGGACAGAATACGCGGGTGCTTACAGGTGGATGGGTGTAAGTAACCGATCGTGGAAGTTTTTTGCTCGTGAACTTCTTCCTATGCATACGTAAACATCGGTAATTGCATTTACACCTGTATACCCATGTACAGTGTGCTCTGCAGCTGAGGCTCCAGGGTGCCATTAAAGGAGAACTATGGGGTCAGTGTTTTTCCCCATAGTTCTCCTTAGGGTAACGGGAGGACACAAACTAGCGTCCTCCCGTTACCCTAAGCTCAGTATACCGCGAGCTACAGCTCGCGGTATACTGAGACGCCGCACCTGGAGCGGATCCCGACTTAGATGACGGGATCCGCCCAGCTGCGTGAGTGACAGCTGGCTCTGCCTATCTAGAGGCAGAGCCAGCTGTACCCGCCCCCTCCCCCGTCCGTTCCGCCAGTCAGCGCTGGCAGATCGGAGCGGGGAGAGGGGAATCCAGCCCCTCCCCCTGTCACGGCAGAGAGCCGTGACAGGATCGAGAGGTGAGCGAACCCGGTATGTGTTCGCTCACCTCCCGATCTACTGAGCCGACCTGTGACAGTCTCATTGTCACAGGTCGGCTAGAACTATGAGGTGAGTGAAAAGCACTCACCTCATAGTTCTCCTTTAACACAGCTGTACGTCTGTATTTACATCCATGTGCATGAGCCCAGACTGGCACAACATACATACATACATACATGTACACTACAAATCCCATGATGCACCTGTTTCTGGGAGTCAGGCCAGTGGCTAGGAGAATCTTGCAATGCCTCATGGGATTTGTAGTTCCACAACAGCTGGAGGGCAGGAGTTTGTCCACCCCTGTATATGGGCACCTACCTGATCTATCCAATCACAACAGCTCTAGCACTACATAGTTGATGGTGGAGCTAAAGGAGATTGTACACTCAAATTGTAACGTCTGGTGAGCTTTAAGGCTGCCCATGCACTATACCAGGGATAGGCAACCTTGGCTCTCCAGCTACGCTGAAACTACAAATCCCATCATGCTTCTGCCTCTGAGAGTCATGCCTGTGGCTTGCAATGCCTTATGGGATTTGTAGTTTCAGCACAGCTGGAGAGCCGAGGTTGCCTACCCCTGCACTATACAATCGAATTGTAGTCTCCTTTAGATCCTTTAACTATGCAGTGCTGGAGCTGGTCTGATTGGATACAAACGCCTCATAGTACAAAGTTTTGGTCAATCTAAAAGAGATCGTACAATCAGATTGTATAGTGTATAACCAGTCTAAGTCCCATCAGTGAGCGACATGCTGTACCTTGTAGTTCCACAACACCAGTCCCACGCTCTGCTTTCCTTGCAAACAGATGATAGAGCTGAATGAAGGCGTGTGTATGATGACAGCAGGACTGGCAGGCCTCGCACAGGTAGATAGTGTTACATACACCCGGGACAAGGCCGCAGTGTACTGCCTGAGTCACCCCCCGTATAGCACAGCTCAGCGCAGAGCTCCATACCTGCCACACCGTCCTCCAGCACTGTCTCCCGGCTAGTCAGCGGCTACCCCTCCGGCTCTCAGGCAGCAGCCATACTGCTTGTAATACAGACACGTGGGAGCCTCTGCTGTTACCCACAATCCTTAGAGCTGACTGACGACACCGGCCAGCAGATGGCGCTATTGTCTCGTACTATAAAAAATAAAAATAGTAAGCCTGAAGGCTCCTCCCTCTTCCCCATTCTCACTTTCCTGGCTTCCATTATCATACTTTCTCTTTATAACCAATAAACATTTATTGTATGCCAAGATGTGATCATGACCTTATCAATGAAGTCCCTGTGTCGTTAAAGCGGGAACCCCTAATAATCACTTTAGCAAAAAATATAATGAAAAAAACATATTTGGCAGCGGTGGGATTCGAACCCACGCCTCCGAAGAGACTGGAGCCTTAATCCAGCGCCTTAGACCGCTCGGCCACGCTACCCTGTGCTGTTGAACGGCATATGTTGTATATAAACCGAAAGCAAACACTATGTTGCATGTATTTAATTTGTTATTAACACTACATAACATTTGTTATGTGGGAAAGTCCCTAGTTATGAAAATAGTTTTTAGTTAGACCTGTTCACACTGATACATCACACTGATGCATTGCATTAAGACATACGTGGCATTAAAGAATGCGTCAAGGCAAGAATAAAAACCATACATGCACTTTTCCCCTTTTTTTTTTTTCTTTAACCACTTGATGACAGCGGTGTTTACACCCCTTCCTGGCCAGGCAATTTTTCAGTATTCAGCACTGAGGTACTTTGACATTTATTCAGTCATGCAACGCTGTACTGAAATAAATTTTATACCATCTTTTGGGACAGATA